ATCCGGCACCTAGTGCAGTATCATAATCGAGTCTAGGGGTCAGGTGTAACATTCCAGTTTTGCCCATCTATCTCCAAGGTCTAGGGCAATACTGGAATTCTGGTCCGGTTCAGGGTTTCAAGAAAACCCACATTGCATGTACTTCAGGTCTCACCCTGGCAGCTGAGACAAGCCACCCCAACCAACTTGGCAGCACATTAGTGTCAGCCTTAGCAGGACAAATCTCCCCAGATCTATTCAATGGCTGTAAGATTCTAAACTAACACGATTCTCATAAGTGTCCAGTTTAAGGGTATTACACAGAAACACACCATAATAACATGAATCGAATATGTACTTTATTCATTTATATTAAATGCCATAATGTACATCATTCTGATTAGAGCTAAGGGCATACACTGTCTAACAAAATCTCATGGCAAGAATTCATGGAGGCATTGTGCATAAGATTCGGTCCTACTGGGTATGACGGTTATGATGAGATGCTATTGAAGGGATGAGAGATCCATCACATGGATGGCCGAACCCTGCAGGAAGGTAGGGCGAAATTTCAAAAATCTCTCTTTTCCATCTGGGAATCGCATTCCCTATTTTAGAAAACTGCTTTTTCAAGGATCAATCTTGAACCAAACCAGACCAGATCTGAAACCTAAAGGGAGGAGAGGGATATACCTAATACGAAGTAGCAGTAACTCCCAATGAAGGTGTTCACTTCCAAGGAGAAAACCAAAACCCGCTTCCACTGAACATGACATAGTGTGTGGTGAAACAGGATCAGCAGGACGGCTCTTCAGCAAGAACCGAATTCTGCAGCAAGAATGGAGTAGAGGGCTGGTGAGCACGACTTCAGATTGCTTCTTCTACCAAAAAGCAATATCAAGAACAATTCTTGATCACTCCCACAAGTGGAGATCGAACTGGGTAAGGGCAGCAACAACAGGGAAGAACTCTGCAGATTGTTGTGGTGTGTAACTAAGGATTTCACCCCCTTTATTTATAGCCTTCTTAGGATCAGCCTCCTAATCTAATTAGGAGAGGGTTCCTTAATCCAAATCTGATATTTAGATCTGGACTCTTGAATGAATAAGCCTTATCTTATCCTTGAACTAATCCTAATCAGATTATAAATCCTATCTTGCCTCCTTTTAATTAACTGACTTAAGCCTAGATCGAATTGGGCTTTAGGCCCATTAAGTTTATGTGCTCACTTAACCTCTTAACCTGCTGCCTAGTTGGCTTTCTTTGTATGGCGTGGGACCTAAACATTGATCTACAATCAGCCACATGGGTTCTGCTTAGCCTTTGTTATAAGGCATGGCCGAATTCACTATAGGAGACAGTGAACCCCTGAGTCCATCACCATGGGCTCTTAATGGGCCCAACATTTACACTAAATGGTCCTTGGGTCCAGCTACCTTATGAAAACCCAAGGACTGTGGTCAGATGCAAGATTAGCCTATCAGGTATTACCCTCAATGGTCTTACACTTAACTTCTCAGCCCATAATGATCAAACACTACACGACAAGAAATGACCTCTCCCTCGGCTGTAAGGAATAGTACTGCACTCTCTACTCACATGAATCTCGGGAATTAAAACCTTTTGCAATTATTTTGAAACCATAATATATATATGTATATCTCTATATAAATATATTTTGCAAAACAAATTTCAATGGTTGAAATCAACTGCTGGCAGTTTAGGTTTCCATCAGAGAGAGTGCATCCCCAATCATTCACTTTGTTCGACAAATAGGTTGATCCTGTCATTATGATCACCCACTCAGATGAATTCTTGGACTATCCCAACATACCCAAGTTTTGACCCCCTCTAAGGATCTCACTGATTGGCATATCAAAGACAACCCAATCTGACACCTAGTGCAGTACCATAATCGAGTCTAGGGGTCTGGTGTAACATTCCAGTTTTGCCCATCTATCTCCAAGGTCCAGGGCAATACTGGAATTTTGGTTCGATTCAGGGTTTCAAGAAAACCCACACTACATGTACCTCAGGTCTCGCTCTGGCAGCTGAGACAAGCCACCCCAACCAACTTGGCGGTACATCAGTGTCAGCCTTGGCAGGATAAATCTCCCATGATCTATCCAACGACTGTGAAGATTCTAAACTAACACGAGTCTTATAAGTGTCCAGTTTAAGGGTATAAACACACCACAATGACATGAATCAATTATGTACTTTATTCATTTACAATAAACGTCAAAAGATACATCAATCTGATTGGAGCTAAGGGCATAACTGTCTAACAGCTCCCACTTGCACTTAGGTCCAATCGGGTACAAGCCGGAGTCCCTTTCTTTCCATGTGTTTCTCAAACACTTTCTGTGTGAGTGGCTTAGTCAATGGGTCTGCTATATTCTCCGTTGATGCTACTTTCTGAATCAAGGCGTCCCTCACCAACTATCTCCCACAGTACATGGTACTTCCTCTCGATGTGCTTCGACTTCGAGTGGGCTCGTGACT